GTCACACTCCAGCTCCCACCCCTTACGTGCATGCCCAAGACTTCCACCCCCTCTGGCTATGCTGCTCTTCTTCACCATTCTCCTCCCTGCCCAGTTCTGCCCAAGCTCCCTCCGTGCGACAGTCCGAATCTCCCAGACCCCTCAATTCAGGACAATCGACAACACTGGGGACAACAGCAGCCATTTCCTCTTTTAGACATATTATTACCACACAAACTCAAACTGTTAACTCGCCTAGCGACCCGCAATCATCGTACAAGCTGAAACGTTTGGGCCAATCATTGCCCGTCGGTTCATTCCTTCTCACCTATTCTCAGATTACATCCGACTGATCGACCCATAATCGAGACAAAAACGAAAAAAAAGGAGAAATGTGCTCCTCCCTTTGAAATTCCACCCGCCGTCCATGCTCCCTCCTCCTACTCTCGTGTCCCAATCTTCCACTCCGATTCCTGACGACTGCATCCGTCACAAAAGACGCAACAAGACCCAACAGCATTCCACCCCTGCTCCCCTCCTAAAAGAAGACACTCGCGGCCAACAAAATGCAATTCATTACCAATTCTGTGCCAATTCTTGCAACCCTCCAAAGAAAACTCCCACTCAGGAGAAACCTTATCCACTCCCTTTCTGCGCCGCTGGCAACCTTATCCACTACTATTCCCCGCCGCAGGAAAAAAAACGTTATCCACTACTATTCCCAGCCGCAGGAAAAAACGTTATCCACTGCCATTCTGAGCCGCAGGAAAAACGTTATCCACTCCCATTCCCAGCCACAGGCAACCTTATCCACTGCCATTCTTGGGGCCGCAGACAGTGTTATCCACTCCATTTTGCACTGACGTCAACCTTATTCACTGCCATTTGCTTCTGTGTGCTGCAGCCAAACCTTATCCACTGCAATTTTCAATTTTGGGGCAGCCAGCAACATTATCCACTGCCATGTGTTGGTCCGCAGACAACGTCATCCACTCCGTTTTGCACTGGCGTCGTCAACCTTATCCACTGCCATTTTCTTCTGTGCTGCAGCCAAACCTTATCCACTGCAATTTTGGGGCAGCCAGCACCATTATCCACTGCCATGTGTTGGTCCGCAGACAGCGTTATCCACTCCATTTTGCACTGACGTCAACCTTGTCCCCTGCCATGTGTTGGTCCGCAGACAGCGTTATCCACTCCATTTTGCACTGACGTCAACCTTATCCACCGCCATTTTCTTCTGTGCTGCAGGCAACGTTATCCACTGCAATTTTGGGGCAGCCAGCAACA